ACAGACAAACCCGTAACAATATGCGTTTTGTACTGCTGTTACACAGCACAAAACGCATAAAAACCAGCAGATTAAATCAAAATCTCTTCTACATCCAAATTCTATGTGAAGCGAATGCAATCGAAACTATCCGAGCGGCAGCAAGCGCCAAAAGCAACCGCCTGCTTGCTTTGTCATTGATGATTTCCTCTTCCGAAGGTCCCTGATGGAGATTTCAACTCTCTAATACATGTCATTGCCCGTTTTCCATCGAAAAGAATGAATGAATTGCACAGAAATTGGTAATTCTATTGGCAGAGGAAATTTCAGCATTGGCAGAGGAACAGAGGAACTTTCAGCATGAAAGAAGCGCTGATCGTCAGTAAAATGGAAAGGTATTTTGAAATGGGAATGAGAATGGAAGAGAAAATATTAAGAAATTAGTAACAGTAGTAAAAAGATTTTGATAAAACTATTACATGAATAGATTTATTATATTAATAAAATTATAAAATTATTATCATAAAATTATTATAATTATTATAAAACCCATGCCTGACAGCTTAAATAACTCAAGAGCGGATAGTGTTTTCTGGAAAAAGCAGAGGGCTGGTTGTAAGTTCCACATCACTATGCTATTGCTCAAGTAATGGACAATTGCTTTGGTTCCCCAATGCAAGTGAAAAATAGGCGAGCGAACTAAGCATTTTGAAGTACACAAGAAATCACAGAACATAATTCGTCTCTGTTGCTAATCAGTGACAAATACCGAGAAGCGGCTGCTCAGATAATAGCGTGGATAACTCGTGTTAATAATTTTGCTGCCTAATTAATCATTTCCCTTCCCGCATTTACTAAAGCGCAGCACTGACTGTTTGTCAGCACGGCTAGCAACAAAAGTAGTTTCCCGGAAAAGGAAACCTTCCAATGGATCGTCTTTCCAGGATGTAAACTTCGCTGGCTCACACTTCAGAAATGCGAAACTTCCAAGAGGTGAATTTTTCAATATGTTCTTCTCTTCCTCCGCTGCAGAAAGCAACGCATTCGTCACTTGCTGCAACAGTATGTTGTTGTCGCCTTCGAACGTCCGCGATGGATCAAAGCTGTCTCGAAGATCGTTCAGTCTTGAACACCTCAGGAATCTGAAAGAATATGTTGCCTTTTTTCAGTTTGTTGAAAAAGATCTCATTTTTTAAAATAATTGGCCAACGCACGGGCTGCCCGTGCGAAAATGCGTTTTTTGCAGAGTTCCCGCAGTTTTTGTTGCTACCGGCCTCGGTTTTTAGGCAGATGCTTCTAGCTGAAAGAATTTCAGACTGGCTGCCAGAACTGTCAAAAACATCCCCTCAAAATTTCAGTCTTCTAGT